TTCTCCTTAGGATGTAAAAAAGTGTAGTCACATTTTTAGGCCTTCAGAAGAGCATCTGCAGAAAACATCCAAGGATTCATCTCAACTCCAGTTTAAGTGCAGGTACTGCAAGTCTATAAAAAGTGACTACATGACAAAATAATTCAGTTTTATTGTATATAAAACCACTTGATAATCATTTGCTGCTTTGTGCCTTTAAAATTTGTGGTATAGAAGCCATTTTGCTTCGTCGCTAACATGTTGATTCTTCACCTTGATCAGTTGACCTTGTCGACTGAGCTTTAGCTTGGATCAAGATATTCAGTGAGGCCAACTGAAGGCAACGGATGGATACATTTAGCAACCCAGTTAATAAGAGGATTTAACCTATATCACATTAGCTGTGTCCATGCAGTGGCATATCTAGGGTGGGGAGACCAGGGCAGTTGCCCCAGGTGCTGACTTTGGGGGGTGAGAAGGGCAGAAACACCTGGCTGTCACTGCAGCTGCACAACTGCACTAGTGGCCCAGTGGCAGCTGGAAGTTGCCGCTCCCCATGTGTTGCAGCTGCCCTGGGCTTCTAGCTGCGTTGTTACTTCTCTGTGTTTATGGATGTCCATGACTGTTCACAGTGCCTCCTCTATTTCTCCTCTGTTCTCCTCAGGATCTGTGTTAGTATCCCGTGGCCTCAAGGACTCTTTTAATGATATATCATCCACCTGTTTCTCTTCATCTTCATTGGCCTCCTCATGCACCCAGTGGTGTACACAGTCCTGTTCAGAGTTGCTCCTAACATACCCTGGCAAATTTACGTGCATGTCATTCTGCCTGTTGACAGCTCTGTTGACTTTGCTTGAAAACATGACCGTGCGGGAGTTGACCACCATTTGAGACTGGCTGCTGGTGCTATGGGTCATGTTTGTGAGAACAGAGCCATATCTGTAATTGCCACATGGAGTTGTTCTTTTCCAGTCAACAGCCAGGTTCCATCTGGTCCACATCTTCTTGATCTCAGTCTGAACCTAACAGGAAAAAATAAAATAAAATCAACAACAGAGCCAATACAGAAAATGAGAAAGGTATAAATTAATGAGCAGGAACCTTTAGGTGTATTCCCTTTTGAGCACTATCACAAAAATCACATGACATGAAGCACTATGTACATTTTTTTCCTGAATTTTACCCTTAAATAAATGCTATCAGGTTACAGATCATAGCCTTAAAAAGATAACCCACAGGCCATGCAAATACCATAATGTATGGGCCATATTCTAATCCCCTTACTCTTGTAAGTGGTCATGCTGCAGCCAATGGGGGCAATCTTTTCGGGAAGTGTTATGAACCGGAGAATCTCTCCCTCTGCCGCTATGGCCACCTTGACTAAGAAAACTTGTAAGCACATTTCACCCAGGATGTCATTTTTTTACTGTTTGTACAGTGAATGTTACTTTCTATATCTAATGAGTTTCTTACAACATTGCAAAATTTTGGCTACAAATGACACAGGACACATGTCAAACAAAAACAGAAATTGCTTTCACTGAATTTGTTTTATACTTCATTTTATGACCATCTGAGGACACAAACTGCCTGATAAGTTCCTTTAAGAGTTGCTCAATAGCTCCATTCTGCCTGTAGGCACAGACAAATTAATTTACTGCCATGCTGATAGTGTTCTGTGCAAAAGCTCCTTTCTGCCACTCAGAGTTTGTTTAGGAGTTTATTCCTATCCTTCTTATAGACTTACCTCTCCATTGCAGTAGCAATATATAATAGAAACGAAGAAACCCTGTAGAATAAGAAAGGAAAACAGATTATTAAGGGATAATTGCCAGGTGTACAAGCATGTCAAAAGTAACTCTTCTTTCTGTTAAATTTTAAAAGTCACTGATTTTATAGACATTACGGCTGGAAGGGACCTCGGAAGATCGAGTCCAGCCCCCTGCCCCAGGGGCAGGAAGTCAGCAGGGGTCATAGGATCCCAGCAAGATAAACATCCACATTTCTCTTGAAGGTGTTCAAGGTAAGTGCTTGAACCACCTCTGGAGACAGTCTGTTCCAGGCCTTGGGGGCTTGGACAGTAAAGAAGTTCTTCCTTATGTCCAGCCTGAAATGGTCCTGAAGGAGTTCGTGACCATTTCACCTTGTCATCCCCTGGGGCACTCTGGTGAACAGATGTTCCCCCAGATCTTGGTGAGCACCCCTGATAAACTTATAGGCAGACACCAGATCACCCCTGAGCCTGCACTTTTCCAGGCTGAAGAGTCCCATAGCTCTTAGTCTCTCATCATAAGGTCTGTTTTCCTGACCTCTGATCATGTGCGTGGCTCTCCTCTGGACTCTCTCAAGCTTGTCAACATCCTTTTTGAATTGTGGAGCCCAAAACTGGACACTACTCCAGCTGTGGCCTCACCAGGGCTGAGTACAATGGGAGGATGACGTCCTGGGATTTGCTTGAGAAGCATCTATGGATGCGAGCGAGTGTTTTGCTAACTTTACTTGCCGCAGCATCACACTGAAAGCTCATGTTTATCTTGTGGTCAATCATGACCCCCAAGTCCCTTTCGTCCGTACAGCTAGCCAGCGTAGCACTGCGGAGCCTATAAGGATGCTGCGGGTTTTTCTTCCCAAGGTGGAGAACCTTGCATTTTTCGGGGTTAAACACCATCAGGTTCTTGTCTGCCCATTTCCTGAGCCTTTCCACGTCAGCCTGGATTGTCCTCCTATCCTCAGGTGTGGACGCTTTACCCCAGAGTTTGGTGTCATTGGCGAATGTGGCCAGTCCGCTTCTGATACCAATGTGCACATCATTAATGAAGATGTTGAATAGTGTTGGCCCAAGGACAGAGACTTGAGGGACCCCACTGGTCACAGGGCACCATGATGATTGACTTCTGTCAACCACCACCCTCTGGGTCGGACCACGGAGCCAATTCCCCAGCCAGCAGGTTGTGGTGAAGCCAAGGCCGCAGTTGGCCAGTTTTGCCAAGAGGTGATCCTAGGATACCAGATCGAAGGCTGTTTTGAAGTCAAGATATACGACATCAATCTCCTCTCCCTTGTCCAAGTGATAGGTCACTTGGTTGTAAAAGGAAATAAGATTGGTCAAGCAAGACCTACCCGCAACAAACCCGTGCTGGCTATCCCTCAGGATGGTGCCATCGGTCAGTCGGTTAAGAATGGCCTCTTTGATAATCTTTTCTAAGACCTTCCCTGGGATAGAGGTCAGGCTGATGGGCCTGTAGTTTGCCAGATCCGCTTTCCTCCCCTTCTTGAAGATGGGCACCACATTGGCCTTCTTCCAGTCTTTGGGCACTTCACCAGAGTGCCATGAGTTCTCGAAGATCCATGCCAGTGGCTGAGTTATGATACTTGCCAGCTTCTTGAGTACCCTGGGATGTAAACTGTCAGGGCCAGATGACTTGAAGGTGTCCAGCTTCTCAAGGTGTTCCTTCACAAGGTCAGCATTGATGGAGGGTAAGGAAGTCAAAGTATTCTAAGCTCACTCCAATTTCTGTTACTTTAGCAAGCCCATGTGGAGTTTAAACAGTTATGTGAGGAGATGGAAGGTGGCAACTCTGGTACAGCTGGCTTAAAAAATGGAAATACCTTCCAAAATATGAAGTCCCATTTTTAAACAATCTGAATTGAGGTTAAAAAAAAAATCTAAAATAACAATTTTAAGGAATTGCCAGAAAAAAAGAAATTGTTTGAGAGAAACGGAGAGAAAATTGCAACGTTCTGTTTGGCAGGATGCTGGGGAGGCCTTTGCTGATTTTTTCAGAAGGTGAAATTGGCACCCATGTTTCAGGCATGCAGTTTGAGGCTGAACAGTCCAGCCCTCGGACTCCCTACTCTACTACTATAAGGTTTGGCAGGGATGATGGAAGCCAAGAAGCGGGGAGGAGTAGAGCCCAAGCACTAGCAGGCAGACTATGAAATTTCCAAGAGCCTTCCAGATGGGCTGTCAGGGAGCCATCATTTTGCTTTTCCAAAAAGGAAAATCAAAATTTGCTGAAAATTGAAATTTTCAATGAAAATTTCTCCATGCAAATTTGGTTTTGAAAAATAAGTATTTCTGTTAGGAGATCATTCTAATGGAAAATTCCTAACCAGCTCCATTCTCCAAGTCATTTCAGTTCAGAGATTGACTGTTTCACCTTTTCTTTTGCATCCACATCAACCAGTGGTTATTTGAACCCAGCTGTAATAGTAATTTCACTCACAGATAGATTAAACAAAATCTACATTTCTGTGCTGTGCAACCAAAATGCCAGACCTTTATTCCTGAAACATAACTTCCAAAAGTAATCCAATGCACAAATATTTTATCAAAAGAACGTACATATCAAATGTAGTATTCACAAATCCTTTCTGAGGCAAATGGCATGCTAAATAATAGTGTGTTATTTCCACTAGTGTTAAATGAACAATTACAGTCACCTGCTGCTGCCAGGTTCAGGAAATCAATAACTGACCCTCTCAGGACTCTGTAAAAAGGTGATCTCTTGTTGGCATCAGAATTCTAGTCTCTCACAGCATCAAAGACTGTGAATTACTGACAGGGCCAGAAAGAAGTGATCAGAGATGAACATACATACTGAGGGATAATGCTTTATATTGCTACCTTTCGCACCTGGAAAGAGTTGAAGAAGAGCTCACAGTGCATTCGGATCTCCCAGCCCAGCCCAGTGAATGTGTGGGGGAGGCACACAAAGACAATATAATGGACGCCGAAGACCAGGATCAGAACCAAGGTGGATTTTGCTAACTTCCTGTAATCACAAGAAGCCCATTTATTATATAAATTGGAGTGGGTTGCACCTAGGAGATCAAATACTCATTAAGTGTCTTACATAGGGTTACCATACATCCAGGTTTTCCCAGACATGTTCTCTTTTTTAGTCCTCCCGTCTCTGTCTGGGTGGCTGCTTTTTTTTTAATTTTTTTTTTAATAACAACAAATGTCTGGGATCATGTTCTGCTCAGCACTGAAGTTTTTCCCAACTTGCCCTAGCAAGGAGCTGCTTGGGGCTGGGAGGAGTGGGGGTTGGGGGGCAGCTGCATACAGGTACATCTATGGGGAGGCAGGGTTTGGAGGGCCAGGGCTTAGGACTGTCGGGGTGTGTGTGTGTGTCACAGTTTGTGTGCGGGGAGGGGGGGTGCCTGCTGGTGCTGGGGGAAGCTGTCTGGGCACTGGGGCTGCAGTAGGGCAGGGGAAGCAGGGGAGGCACCTGCCCCTCCAGCAGGGTAAAGGGGCAGAGAGGTCCTTTGTGGGCATCAGGGAGTTGTGTGGGCAGCCTAGCAGCACCAGGGCTCTGGTGACTGGGTGGGGCAGGGCAGCTGGGAGATACTGCAGGTCGGGAGTCGGGGGTTCTGGCAGGGGGCTATGGGTCAGAAGTGAGGGGTACCAGCAGGGCTGGGGGAGCTGTGGCTTGGGAGTGAAGGGCTCCAGGGGGGCCCAGGAACTGTGGGTCAGAGCATGGGGCACAGGCAGTGCCAGGGGACCACGGTTCAGGAGTGAGGGGTACAAGCAGGGACTGTGGGTTGCAGGCTGGGAGTGAGGGGCACTAGTATGGTCTGAGGGGCAGGGTACTATGAGTCAGGGGCAGCATCAGGGCTAGGGGGGCTGTGGCTTGGGAGTGATGGGCAGGGCATGGGCATATCACCGCATTCCCCCCCAATCATGTTACCCACCCCCCTTCCTAACAAGTGTTCTTTTTTGAAACTGGAAATATGGTAACCCTAATCTTACATAAATTGGTTGGTTTTTTTTGTTTAACCTCACACCACATATTAATTTTTTTCTTTCACAATTTTTACTAACCATTTTCTAACACAAGGGTGTGGCAGGATAATAACATTTCCTCAATCTAGTGTGAAACGTCAAGTCCCCTTTCATTCTTTCCCCAAACATACTGATCAAGGGTTACTTGTACACCAGTTAGAAATCCTTCAGTAATTATTTACTATCTGAGTTTGTACTACAAATGTAACAATGGATCAAGTATATTTCTTCTGAATTAGGCCTATGCACGTTTTTAAATGTTAATCTGAAAAAACATAATCTCTCTTTTTTCCTGAAAGGTCTACAATTTCATAAGCTTCAGGAGCACTTAGTTAAAAGGAAATAGAAACACATTAGACTGCATTGGTAAGTGGTGAGGACAGTATAGGTGAGCTTGTCATAGAAAACAACTTTGAATTGATGGATCATGAGTTGATATAGTATAAATTAAATGGACGTATGAAGAAAAATTGGTCTGTAAGTAAGATTTCAAAGGAAGCCAAAAAACAAACGAGGTAGTTGTAGAGAAGGGTCCAGATCCAATAACAAAAATTGTTTTAGGAGTAAGAAGAGAGCTTTCAAGGAATTACATAAAGGCTAGATCAGAAACCAGCTTAAACCTGTAACAGAACAGAAGTTCAGTGCACATAAACCAATTTCAAAATGGCTGAAACTGCTTTAAGATAAACCTGGTTGAATGTAGTATCAGATTTAACTGATCTGAGTCAAACTGGTTTACGCAACTTGTCCCAGACCCCTTCCTTTTTTTAAAGTTAAATCAGAGTCCCCCAGCATCCCAAATGCTTTGCAGCCTTGGGCTGGGCTGTCTGTTCCAGAGAACAGGGCTGGCCCCACCCCTCTGTTCCCTAGCCAGAGCTCCAAGGGAGACTGCAGGCACAGCAGAGTCTGCCTGGCTTCCCTCGCTGCTGAAGCAGAGAACCCTCTTCCCTCCCTCCCATCTCCCACTGCATGGACCCCAGCCCCAGGGACCCTAGGCATGTGGTATGCTACCTAATGCTAAGAGGTGTCTCTGTGTGTGCGTGTCTCCAATTTCACTGACAGAACAGTGTTCATTTAGGGCTTTTTGGAGGTAATTAACAGTTCAGCTGGTAATGTCCCTCTGTTCCTTCCTTGGAAAAATCTGTTTAAGAGCTTGAACAAATTAGAGGTTTTTGTTTTGTTGATAGGCTGGTAAACACTGTGTTATCACCCCCCTGCTGGTTTGCATTAATGTTCTGTAGTTATTGCACATTTAATTTAGTACTTCATTAAAAGTACTAACTGAATGCGCACTATCTACATGTACTGTACAGTAGTGCTAGCGAACATGTTTTTTTGTGACGGTTACTGCGCAGTAGTCTAATAACACTGTTCAGTAGCTTATCAGCACGGTTTTTGCAGATAATATGAAGAAACAGGGAGAGGGAGATTGAAAAGCTTAGGGTCATCAACAGATGCATGCACTGCACACCACTCCCCTCCCTTGGCTCAGAGTGCTAGCCTGGGACGGGGGTCTGGCAACACTCCTGCACCTTGAGCAGTGAGCGGGGAAAAGCCTGGGACAGTGCAGGCAGGGTGGGGATTTACACCCCTCCCTAATCAAAGCACCTTGCTGGGGCCTAGCCACGCCCACCCTCAGCCAGCATTGTGGAAGGGAGGGCTGCTCTAGCACCCTCCAGCTTTTAGCCTGAGTCACTGCAAGCATGTGCCTGCATTTCTTCAGTCCAGAGGGAATGTCTTCAAGGTTGCAAACTGGTTCAACCTAGGCAGGTTAAACTAACCTGCAAAGATTGAATCAATTAATGCTCAGGGTTTTTTAATGTCTGCCCCTAGCCAAAGGGACTGACCAGCAAAGAAAGCTGTTTGTTAGAGTATGTCTACAATGCAATACAGAGATGAGATTGCAACTTCTGTGGATGTATTTGAACTACCTTTAAACTATGTTAACTGCAGAGTATGTACCTATGCACCTACGATCTGGCAAGAAAACATGCCTCGAGATGTTTCACACCATATAGTACAATTATGCTTGCTTCTGTCACCCAAGCTAACTACTTTAAAGCTATCTCAGAGATGTCTACATCAACTGTAATCACCAGGGATCCTGGTTTTATCTGATTTAAAAAAATCCCCAATTTTTGGATTAAGAAGAGTAACCCCAAATCCATATTTTTTTCCGTGATCAAAATGAAACACCACTAATATAGATATATAGATATATAAATAGTGGTGTTTCATTTTAATCACAAAAAATGTGGATTTTGGGTTACTTTTTTAATCTGAAAATTGGAGATATTTTTATCAGAGAAAACCAGGATCCTTAGTAATCACACCTCTGGACTGCACTGTAAACATGCCTTAAGGGTCATGGTGTTGAAATAAAATGGAAATTGCCAAAAGTCAAACAGAATTAGATTTTACAAAGGATATTAAATTAGAACAACAGCTTTTTTAACCATGTACATAAAACGATAACAGGGAAAGAAATGGGGCTGCAGTACAGTGAGGGTGAGGCCAAGGTGATATGATATGAGGTCAAGATGATATCTAGATATGACTTGCAAACAAAATGAATATTCTGCCTCAGTTTTGAATATGGAAAATGATGTTGAATATGGGTCAAAGTCAGGATAGATAATGGAAATGAGGGTATAGAAATGGAAATGACCACAACTGAGTTAGAAAAAATATTGTAGTGTACTCAGGGTAGATGACAAAGCAATCTGTATCCTAGAAAACTGAAAGAACTGTCACATGAAGTCTGATCTTAGGAGGTTTTAATTGATCTGTCAAATCATGGTGCCATGATTGCTGTTCATAAATACATCAGGGTGTTAATACTAGGAAGGAAAAAAACAATTTAGCTGAGAAATACAATGATTACACAAGAATAAATGGGTACAAAGTGGCCACAAATAAACATATGGTAGAAATTAGCAGACATTTTCTAAAAGTAAAAGAATTGAAGTTCTTGGGTGCAAGAGACAAAGCTAATTTAAAATGAAGCAGAAGTTTATGAAAAGGATTGTGATGTGGTTGCCTGTGATGGCAGGAGACTGGACATGATTGCTCAGGAAATCCTTTCCAGTGCTATACCCTTATTTCCAAGAAAATAATGCAAATTAAGGGCTCTACTATACCCTGCAACTGGATATAGTCCCTGGCTGCATTTTTGTCACTTAAATCACTTTGATCCAAAGAGCCAAAAGACTCTGAAGCATTGCATCTCCAAGGAAGGGGATACTTCCAGAACAACCAGATCTCTCACAGGGGAAGTATGCCTACTACACTTTTTTTTTCCTGCCCATACGTGCAGATTAAAGATATGGCCATACTTACATTGGAATCGCCACACAAGATGCTTACTGCATGGTAGCCCAATGACACTGCACAGTAGTATTCTGGTTTAAAACTGTGCTAATAAGCTACTGCACAGTGTTATTAGACTACTGCGCAGTAACCATCACAAAAAAAACCCTGCACAGTAGTGCTGGCATACAGTAAATGTAGTTACTGTGCATTCAGTTAGTACTTCATTAAGGAAGTACTAAACTAAATGCGCAGTAACTATGGTGCATTAATGAACGTGTAGGCACGCCCACTATGTAGCTTACAATGGTTTTGTTTACTGTTATAAAGCATTCTGGGTTCTGGAGTAGACAGATATGCAGCTATCCTGTGGTATCCTACAGTTCTGTCCACAGTAGGTAGCTTTTAAAATACCTCGCCATTAAGTGACATGAAAGCAAGTAATAACATATTTGCTTTGAACTCCAAGGACAAGCTGCAGATGCACAGTCCCATGTACCCTAGTATAATTTACACTTTGGGGCAATTTTGCTGATTTTTCCTGGTGTTGTCTGCATTGGTTGCACACTGGCTGTACATTGGGTTTCTACCTTCTTTTGAACATCAGTATAAAGGGCAATTTTGCTGCCATAATATTGTGTGTCCATGCCCCAACTGGAAAATAAAGCTAGAGTAGAATGTGGTCAACTACTTTTTAAGAAAAGAATTAATCACACAAGTACATCAAAACCTGAAATGGCTGTCAAGAGTTTCCAGGTAGAGGTCAAGGTATTGGCTTTAATTGTAGAATCCTAATTGGTTTGGGACCTCCCTCTCTTTGTGTGGACAGACAAGGCTCTTTGGTTAATATGGTATCTTTTATTAGACCAACTAAAATAGTTGGAATAATTCTTCTTTGCTAGCATTCAGGTACAAACACATTTGTTCAGACTGAGAAGGTTTGCTTTTAGCCTCACTTGACTTAATTGCAAACATCTGCTGGCAGAGCACCTTCCAGGAAGGAAGCTAAGCTTGCAATACCTTCCTTATTTCTCATTCACCATCCCCAGATTTGTTAACCTGCAACACCTACTGTTTTTCTCAGGTATTTGGAAAAGGATTAGATCTAAGTGTTGACTTGGATGCTGAGGAAGTGGCAGTGGGTATAGTTATTAATTATAAAAGGGAGAGAGAGGCATGTTGAGAGAGAGAATTCTTACAGGGAATTCTCAGAGTCTTAAAACTTCTACTGACCTGAGCAGCACTTGCTGCATAGCTAGTGATTAATGAAGAAATGAATGGCTATTTTTAGAAATGCTTCCATACTCTGAAAGTGATGATGAAACTGTAAAACAATGTTAGCTTTTCAATCCAGATATTTTAGACATGTAGTAAAACAATGTCAGCCCCAAAGTTTTGTGGGAGCTGTACAACAAGGATTTTTGTAGGTGATATCTTTTATTGAACCAGTTGCAAGTCTGGGAGAATTTTAGGTTAAAAACAGATTTCCCTGGGACAAAGCCTGTTATTTCAGGATCCTACAGACTATATAACCTATTGGCCCACCCTAAGTACCTGAAAAGTACCAAGATAATATTGTGTCCTCCCCTCAATGAACCTAGTTCAAGTTAATTACCATTCAACCTGCATGTGTAAATGACTGTCTCCTGCCTGTTTTGATGCTAGTCAAAGCCAGGGGCAGGGAGCCAGGGATTCCCCCCCCCCCCCCCCCCCCCCCCAGGTCTATATGTCATTCCAGGAACTGATTCACTCTTTAAACAGACTTCTGAGTGATTCATACCAAACTGAAGCAACCCTTTTAACCAGCCATATCAGGACCATTCTATTGAATAATATACTTTCTAAAGATTTACCTGTATTGTTTTCTCGTGTCATACCCAACAGCATTTGTTTCCCAAATTTTGGTAGCAAGAACTCTCACGGTATTCAGGAACAGAATGAAGTTCAGCTGTAAAATATTGAGGTATTGCAAGAACAAAAATACACAGTCAGTAATCTTACAGTTAACTCTGCAAACTTGAGAAGTTTGAAAATATCTTTTAATCAATAACATAGAAGCAACAATTAAAATAATGAAATGCACAGGAAACTTACTGAAAAGATAAAATTATATATTTCTCATCACTGATATAAGATAATTGCTTGGAAAATTACTGAGCTTGAATATTTGGGCTTGCATGAATAAGCGGTCCTAGCTCTAGTGACATTTGAAATATCATATCATTCTGATTACTACCAAAGGGTCAGATTCTCAGCTGGTGGAGATCAGCATAATCGATATAGTCCATTAAAGCCATCCATGTGAAACCTGAAGCATTTCAAGTCTGGCATGATATGTGGAGGCAAATTCTTACATTCCAGTCAGTCTGGGCTTTCACATCTAACTCCAGCTGTTCTCAGTGTAGGAGCAGCTGGAGATGCATCAGGATCCACATAGAAGCTGAGGAAAAGATGGTCTGATAGCCTCAATCTGGGCAGGACAGTTGAAAATGGTATATACAAAGGTAGCAATATCATCTTAGACAAAATTAGGGAAATCCTCACTTCCCAAAGGTGTGCAGCATTTGGTGCTGCTCTGGGAATTAGAGCACCTTGGAACCGGGCCCATTGCCTAAACATTGGATATAGCTTCAGACCAGTTCAGTTTTTCCATCGATTACATGAAGCCCTGTTATCACAGTTAATTGGAGGTTATATGTATGTGTAAAAAATTGGCCTGTAAGTAAGGTTGCCTGGCTTGATGTGCCAGCCACTTCAGGAGAGAGGGGCTGCCTGAAAAGCAGCCTGCAGGTTTGGCAGGGGCTCATTAGCATATCACCTGATTGGAAGGGTGCTGGGTTTGAGGCACTTAAGCCAGTCAGGCAGTCTAGCCCTGGGAGCGGACCTCCTGGCAGCAGGGCTCTTGAGGTAACTGCTGAGATGGGGTGAGCAGCACTGAGTTCAGGAGCAGGCCAGGCCTAGGAACAGGAGCAGGTGAACCCATAACCTGGAGGGGGTGGCAGAGAGCAGAGGGCCAGAGGCCCAAAGTCCAGCTAGCAAAGAGAGTAGGGCCTGAGAGGGGTGAGGCACACCTGGGGGTAATGGCCTGAGAAGGCTGTTGGTGAACAATTGGTGGTTATGGAGGGGACTGAAAAGGAGGTACAGGTCCCAACTGGCTCAGCAAGGAAGAGAGAGAGGGCCCAGAAAAATAGAGGTCCTGGGGCCCAGAGGAAGAGTGCTGGAGCCCATTGAGGGGTGGAGCATGGGGTCAGACCAGGTCTTGGAAGAGATAGGCTTGGGGCCCACAGAGAGGGAGAGCTTGAGGCCAGGATGAACTAGGTATTTGGGAGAAGGTCCGGTGCTTGGAGGGGGATAGACCAAGAGGGGCCAGTGCCTAGGGGGGGAACTAGAGTGTGTCAAGGGAAGCTCCAGTGCCTGGGGTCTACCAGCACACAGAGTTGTGTTAGCAGATCACCTGCAAGGCATGGGAGTGGGTATCAGGGAGGCTGGAAACCACAGAACTAGCCCTTAAAGCAATGACCATGAGCAGCTCCTAAGAGCAACACCAGACTTGGGAAGCCCTGAGGCAGCTTCCTTTTCATTAAAAATTGATAACATCAAGGTGTGGCAAGAAAGTAAAAGGGAGAAGGCCCTAAGGGGAGCCAATCTGGCAAGGGCTGAAGGGCCACCTGTGGGACAGGCACTTGCTATAGTATCTTATTTATGTAGATGCAGGGATTTGCTCCCACCCACTGCATGTGCAACTTGAGCAAGATTTCTTTGGTGTAGATGATTTACACTTGCATAGGTGTATAAAATGCTTTAGGATGCATGTTTCCAAACACACGTCACTGCATAAAATTATCTTGCCCTCTTTACAGAGTGGATTTGATATCACTGTGAACACGAAAGCAATCAAAGGCTTATAGTATCAGTTTAAAAAGATCTAGTACTCTGAGGGATCATACACTACACTGACAAGGGGATAAACTTGAGAATGTAATAGTTATATTCTATCATTATCTGGAATTCCATGACAGATTGTTAACAGAAACACTTGGAACTAAGAGCTTGATTTCCCCCATGGCAAACTCCCACTCGCATGAATCAAACTGGATTTGTAAAGAGCATTTCCAATTCCAGCTTCATGGCAACCTGGCTCTCTCTAAAGTGCAATCAGTCAGATGGCAATCTTTCTCCATTGACTTCAGTCAACTTTGGATTTAAGTCATCATTGCTACTATGACATCTAAAATCAGCAAAGTAACAGCTCCAGAAATCAATATCTGGAATATGGAGGTATATCCTTCTTGGTTAAAGACTTCTGAAATCATTGTACATGTAGGTTTAGTAATGCCTAAACTCAGGACATCTTTTCATGCAGGGCCCAAGCCTTTTTCTCTTTGCCCCTTCCTCAGTTGCAATGGTGTAATTTTTTATTTAAAGGAACAAGTCAAGAATAAAAGTGGTGTAAGATTATCAGATCAAGAATTAGTCAGCATTGTATATAACTTAATTGAACCCATAGAACTGGGGTTTAGGCATGAGTTGAGCCTGGCCATTTCTGGGATGATATTATTACTGTTATATTTACCTTCTTCAAGAGTATCAGAAATGTATTGGCTATTCCAAAAATGCTTCAGAGCAGTGTATAGCATCAGAGTCTCTATTATAAAATATTTCTTGGCACTTCCTTGTTTACAGCAGTGCTAGAACAAATTTAGAACATGATATAGTGATTACAGCTTCAGAGCCTCTTCAGATTTCAAAGGCAACGGGTATTTTTTTAAAATAAAAGTCTAACAGAATTTTGGACTTGAAACAGGAAATATCAGTGGAAGTTTTCTGGTCTGTAGTATGCAAAAAATCAGACTGGGTGATCACAGACGTCTCTTCTGGCATAAAAAACTATGAATGTATGTATAGTTGATGTGAATGTTGGCTCATTTACACTGGTTTTACACTGAGGTGCATCACTGAGCTGGATTCCCATTGATATTTAAGAGGCCTTTTTATACCACTCTAGCAGTGTAAAGTGAAATTTACACTCAGCTGAAGGCCTCTTTATATTGTAAAATGGGTATGAAAAGGTCTAAGTGTGACTAAGAATGCATTCTACTAAATTTAAAGGATTTACTCCTGTTTTATAGCCATGAACTGTAGATGATAACCACCCAAAATAACTTCAATATAAAAAGAAAGAAAAGGACTACAAAGAGAAGGGTGTAGGGTGTACACATACAGCAAGATTATTATAGAGTAATTAACTCTGGATTGTACTCCATAGTAAATGTAACTCTGTAGTAAGGAGCAGATGATCAAACAGCTCTCCCAAACCAGTTACCTGCAGTAGGTCCCTTGCACAGCCCTTGCTCAGATACTCATGATTGTTCCCTTGGGCAGCTCCACAGGTGTCACTTTTGCCATCTCGCATTCAGAGAAGATTATGAACAAGCTAATGCAACTTTAGATCACACTAACTCTCTGCTGGGTTTTTTACAGAGCTTGGGGTGTGTTTAGGGCAGGGGCGGGCAAAATCCAGCCCGTGGGCCAGATCCAGCCCACCAGGCACTTTTGTCTGGCCTGTGGCACCCCGTAATGAATTGTACCCTACCCAGCCCTTTCACCTGTGAGGGTGACAGCAAGGTGCTTGCATCCACCCTCAACATACCTTATTATGACTCACTCCCACCCTTGTGGGTGGAAGGACCTAGCCCCGCTAGCACCAGGTGAGGCTACTGCTGTAGGTTTCCCTAGCATCCCGCTCCCTTGGGGCAGCATGTAGGGAAGCAGGGGGTGGGGAGGGGGGAGCTGCACTTGGGTGGAAGCGCGCAGCATGTGGCTGGGGCTGGCGGCAGTGCAGAGCCTGTGCCTAGTGGGTGGGGGCAGTGCAGAGCTTAGGTGGGCAGGGTATGGGTATGATGGAGGGTGGGGGTTATGGGGACCCTTCCCACACACCCCCATAGTGCTGAGCACTGGCAGGCAGTGGGGGCAGCAGCAGGAGGGGCACTCAGGCATGGGAGGGAAGCCCCAGGCACTAGAGCTGGCTGGGGTGGGGAAGGCAGCCAGCTTCAGTGCCTGGGACTTCCCTCCCATGCCACACAAGTGTGGGAGTGCCCGCAATAGAGACAGCACAGTGGGGGCTGCACTCTTCACTGTAATATGCAGCACTGGCCAGAGCCAGGCACCAGTGCCCCCACCTGCTGCTGCGCCATGGGTGGAGTGTGTGGGAGGGGTCCTCACTCTTCCCCCCTCCCCCCGCACAGTGTTGCCTGCATTGACTGCAGGAGAGGACAGTGTGTTCTAGAGCCACACACACACACCCCACAAATGCCACACAAACTGCCCCCCCACAAGGCCACACCCCCTCACAAATTCCTGCCACAGCCACACCCCACTATACACACCCCCACACCTCATCATACACATACACACCACCATACAAGCACACATGCTAACCACAACCCCCTTATTTTTGAGTTATTATGCAATCACCTCTCTATACAGTACACAAACACAAATCATGGCAAAAATATTTTTTGTAATCAAATTAAAATATGTTATAGCAGGTGTTTGACTTTTAGTGTATCATTTGGTTTTTTCTGGTTCTAAGATGGCAACCCTTCCCCCCCCCCTCCCGGAGTGTTTCCAGGGGGCCAGGGGAGAGACTTCCAGTGGCAAAGGCCAGTTGTTAGGGGTGGGACTTCTGGTCCCAAGATGGCAACCAGGGGGCAGGGAAACCATCAAGGGGTGGGACTACCCATGCGGCCCTCAGCAGCTCACCAAACCTCATTAAGTCACCTTCCACCTGAAATAATTGCCTGCCCCTGGTTTAGGGATAATGCTCATTTTCTCAAACCTACCTTCACACTACTTACTCCAACTGAATCTATCATTCTCTCACCATCAGCTTCCCAACTCCATATTATAAAGTCAATTTCATGAAGTCAGAGACAAGGGCATGATGGAAATACTTGAATAAAACAAGATACTTGCATACAATGAGGAGAGCCAGAAGTAATGCATGTCCCTGCTTCTGGCCAGGAGAACCATCACAATGAAAATAATGTACTGAATGACAACACCTAGCTAAATGCAGTATTGAAATTTAGGATATAATATATCCTTATATATCTACATAAATCCTGTGAGTGCATCTATTTCTCACCTTGTAAGTCCTTTCTACTAGTCTTAGATCTCAGACATGATCGTTTTGTGCTGACCAACAACCTCTTGAGGCTAAGTTGGAACAACCAAACTCATTCACACTCAGGAAGCAAATTGAATTGGAATCCAGATCTTCTACGTTAACCTGTCCTAACACCTAACTTACTACCACCTAACTTGACTCCTGTCAGGTACAGATATTTCATATTATGGCCAATTTCCAAAGTGTTTTCTTAAGATAAAAAACAGTTTTGATCAAGCACAGAAGTAGGTAACAACTAGGGACTGTATTTTATTCACAGATATGGAGTTAAATGCATTTCAATGGAAAATCTGAAATCACAGATGATTAAAAAAAAAAAGACTTCAGTATCTGGACAATTTTGATAATTTATTACAATTGGGCTCTTCAGAGAGAGGAGAGGCTCTGAGTAGAACTGCTGTGCAGCTATTAATACTTCATTTTTATATGCAGAAGGGAGCTGTAATAAATGTGTCTCAAGATGGAGGAGGATATACATATGATAAAAGAGGAAAAAGCTCTGCTTGAGGATTTCTTTCTAGATTTGTTTGCTTCTGTTGTAGCAAACAAAATTAACTTTATGGACATGTGTGTTCCAGTTACAGAAGTATCTTTGAAAAGTGCAATGAATGAATTCAAAGCACACTGGATTGATGCACAATGAAAATTCAGTATTCAACTACCCTTTAAAAATATTTCACTTTAATGTAGTTTTATGGCATCATATCAGGGTTCAGC